ATTTTGCCTATGTGTGGTTTAGATGCTCAGCCCACAGTTAAACAAACTGCTGATAAATGAAAACAGCTTATATCTATGGCTACTCCTTTCAAGCTGGCTAACATATGTAACCTATCATGATGTACCTTTCACTGAGCATGGTATCCATGAGAGGTAAATATAGGGGAGCTCTCTGCTCTTCAACCAAATATCAACCTGTAAGCAAAATAGCCACCGAGATACTTTTTGGAAGGACTAGTCACGCCCAGAGTGATCAGTCTGTAAGCTATAAGGTTGTGCTCGTCTCGCTCTGTGTGCTAACGCTGTAACTGATTGGTAAATGGTAAGTGGACTGGATCTTATATAGGGCTTTTCTACTCTACCTGACCACTAAGAACTTTATACAACATGCCTCACTCCCCCATTCGTACAGCCACTGCTTCTTTGGTGAAGTACTTTCTATCTAACGTTCACACACATTCACTCTCTGATGGATGCATTGGAGAGTAACTTGGGGTTAGTATCTTGCCAAAGGAGCAGCCAGGGATCAAATGACCAGCCTTCCAATTAGTAGATGACCTGGTCTCCTGAGCTAGAGCCACCCCTCAGCCACTTTTGATGACCTCTCACCCTGAAGGCTGGGATAAGCACCAGCCACGATGAACAAAGTGATTGGCTGGCTCGATGGACTGTAAGTTTGTTATTGCTGCAAACTTACAGTCCATGCTCCTTGCTGACTGCTTTTCTGTGTTAAATATTTAGCACACGAGTAGGAAACTGATACGGAATTTTAGGTAAAATAAATAATAAATATTAATAATGATAAATAAATATTTCTATGCTGCAGCAGGTAGATGGAGACACCTGCTCCAGTACTTCCTGTATAAAGCCCACCCTTCCTATTCTTCAGCATGCATCTTTTGTTTCTCAGCCATAGACAGTATAAAATATGTACTGTACATAGCCACTCTGACATCCCCTATTAGTTTTGGACATTTTGTTTTGAACCCTCAACACTAACATTTTGGCTGTTGTTAATGCTAATTCTTCAGGTAATGCTAGTTAGCTTGGTTAGCAAGCTATGTCCACAAATTGTATGCATGCAACACACAGACATAATAATTTGGCTAATAAAAGATAGACAAATAATCAAGAACAATTAATAATATTAGTAAGATAATTCAGTAAAAAGTCTCACAATGGCACAAATACAGCAGAGAGATCCACTTCAGTTGCTCGGATTAATGGAGTTGAGGCCTAGCAGCACCTGCTGGCTAGAGCTGCCTATGCCTTGATATCTCTAACTCAATCATCCAAACAGGTAAGTCACAAAAGAATTCAACTTAAATAT